AAAAAAAAAAAAAAAAATCGATTTATATATACGTTCCAAGAAAGAAGGAGGAAAAACATCGGCCACTGAATAATCACGGAGATGCGTTTAAACACACTTATTTTTATCGCTCTTGCTCCATAAATTCGTCGTTTACGAAACGTTGGAAGATTCGGTGGTGTCGAGGAGGCTAGCTGGAATGAAAAGAGCACAGCATCGAGCCCCGATGGACAGGGGACTCTCGGAGGATCATTTCTGAGGCTGACTCGTTGCAACACCTTCGTTCCTTTGCAACGTTCCTTCGCTGGGCGTTTGTTTCACGGCGCCTGGGTACAATGCAAGGGGCCAGGGACGCGATGGAGAGGAGACGGGTCTAGAAAAGACCGAGAAGCAACCGGCAGAAAGAGGAAATCGAGGGAAAAAGGGAATCGGAACGCTTTAAAGACCGAAAGTCTTTCCCTCTGTGTCTCTCGTTGTCCTGCCGCGTCCAATAGTCTCTTTAATCTGCAGTTTCTTCCCGATCTTCTCCCGCGTTCTTTCTCCTCTTTTGTTTACCCCGTTGCTGGCCTTTTTCGCCCTCGATTCGCACCCGTAGCAGACTCAATGGCGCGGATCGAAACACCAACGGAGCAGCTAAGGCACGAATTGAACGAAATACGTCGCTGGATGACCGGGATGACGGGGGACAAAGTGTCGATGGGTGGAACTTTGATTCGCCTTTCAATTTCCCGGGGATCGGGAAAGAAGGTTGGAAAAATTCGAGAGACGAAAGTTCCGCTGGTTTTCGACTTTGCTTCCTGATGTTTTTAGAACTGACATTGTTGGAGTATTTCTTTTTTTTTTTTTTGACACGATCGAAGGGATTTTAATACCATTTCGAAGCCAAATTTTGATAATACGGAATTTCGGGATGGATCCCGAACGAAATCGACCAGTTTGCTCTTATTAACTTCCCATTTCACAAATGTAGACGTTTCTCTCTTAATCAAGTGACAATCGGGTCGAATGAACGTTAATATTCGAGGCGGCATGGAAAGCCGAGAAATCGAAATCAAACTTTGAAATTCGTCGACAACGAATTGGTAAAGACGAAGTTGATAAAATTCTGTATGAAACATTTTCAACGATTAAAAGCGATTTAACAGTTTTTTAACCAAACCAGCTGACGACTCAAGGGATGGATGCTTCGGAGAATGAATGTTTCGAGAAGAAGAATGTTTCTCTAATGAGCAGCGTATGGAAACGATATGATAGATCTCTTACGGCTCTGGGTAGATTTCACTTCGATGGTGAGCTGTCGATCCGTCAGTGATTCCAAGATCCACGTGCACTTCTGTTGGTAATACTGATTGAGCTTCAAACCGCTGCTGGCCAGGTCACCGCCATTCACCTCGCCCTCCGGCTTCGTCGTTGTGTGATAACCGCAGTAAGTGTCCTTGATAAACTCGTAAGCCGCACGGAAATTGAGGCCTGCCTTCGAGGACCTCGACCATTCGATGTATACGGGCGTCCAGCTACGGATACCGACCGGTAGCCAGTCCTGCGGGACACATACACCACAGTGGCGTGTATTTTGCCTGACTGGTGGGTTGCAGAGTTTATTTAACAGTCTCGTCATGTAACAATATTAATACTGTAAATCAAACATGAATATTCACAACGGAAATCTATTATCAGGATCACCGAGAGGAATTAATATCCTGCGATGTAAAATTCGTTCATTTATTGCCAGACGTATTTATTTATGTTAATGGCAGCTGTTTCTCTCTCTTTCTCTGAGAGTTATCAAGGGCTGTTTGCTTGATTGAAAAGTATCGGCGAGAATAAATAGTAGATTTCGCGCGGATGTTTATCCAGTCTGGTTTATCGTTGCTAAACGATGTGCTTCGCGCTGTATTTTCATAAATTAACGAGTTGCTCCTCGCGAAATTCTTGACTCGCGATGTTTGGTAACCGGGAGGCAGGGGAGTTAAAGCGGTAAATTTGTTTCCTTGTTCCCATTGTTCCCCTGATCTTATGAAAGTTCGATGAGGTTCTGCGGAATGTAGAATTACGAATATCTGAATATTCGATTTGTATTTATTTAAAGTAGTAAATTTGTTTCTTTCTCTATTGTTCCCTGACCTTATGAAAGTTCGACGAGGTTCTGCGGAATGTAGAGTTACGAATATCTGAATATTTAAATTGTGTTTATTGGGATATTTGAATATTGAATTGTATTTACTGTATTTATCGAACTGTATTCATTTCAAAGTAGTAAATTTGTTTTCTTCCTCCCATTGTTCCATGATCTCACGAAAGTTTGATGAAAATTCTACGAAATGTATT